GTGTGCAATGGCATGACACTGGCTCACTGAAACCTCTGCCTCCCAGTTTCAAGCAGTTCTCCTGCCTCAGCCTCCTGAGTAGCTGGGATTACAGATGCCTGCCACCATGCCCAGCTAATTTTTTTGTATTTTTAGTAGAGATGGGGTTTCACCATGCTGGCCAGGCTAGTCTTGAACTCCTGACCTCACGTGATCCAACTGCCTTGGCCTCCTGAAGTGTTGGAATTACAGGCCTGAGCCATCATTCCTGGCCCATCTTGGATTTTTAAAAATATATTGTGTGTGTGTGTGTGTGTGTGTGTGTTTTGATAAGGAGTCTTGCTCTCTCTCCCAGGCTGGAGTGCAGTGGCGCGATGTCAGCTCACTGCAACCTCCGCCTCCTGGGTTCAAGCAATTCTCCTCCCTCAGTCTCCTGAGTAGCTAGGATTATAGGTGTATATCACCACACCTGGCTAATTTTTGTGTTTTTAGTAGAGATGGAGTTTCACCATGTTGGCCAGGCTGGTCTCAAACCCCTGACCTTGTGATTCCCCCACCTCGGCCTCCCAAAGTGCTGGGATTACAGGTATGAGCCCCTGCACCCGACCATCATTTTGTATTCTTTACAAGCAAAAATTTTTGACTATTTTGTTTACTTGATGTTTCTTCAGTGCCTTAATTGATGTTTCGTCAATGCATTAGGACATTGTCTGGCATATGGCAGGCACTCAATCAATATATGTTGAACAGGTGAATGAACTACAGAATTTCTCCTTAGACCTCTGTGTTTCTTCTGAATACCAGATAGGAAGCATTGCTTTCTTTGTATGTATTGCTGTATCCCTAATGCCTCACAATATAATTTACACTAAATATTGAGTAAATTAATGAAAATCAGATATCATCAATTAATCACACCATTTATACCTGTTAAACCTGGGTTGAACATTCCAGGATATGATTACCTATATTTAGGTGTTGAAATGATTGAACCTGTGCGTCCTCCCTAAGATAATCCCTTAGATTATCTCTAAGGCCTGTTCTGAGCCCCCACATTCTGTGCTTCTTATTGAACTAATTCTGTCAGTAAAATCCTTGAGATATATTATGAATAAATGTGATTTTGTGGGCTGGTCTAGGATCTTAGCTACCTTTTGTTACACTGTGTGTGTAGGGGTAAAATTGTTTAATATCCAGCTTATAACCTTTGGAACAGTGGCCATGTATAGGTTGTCTGTATATGAAAATATATGTAATACAACTTGTGAGGTTAGTTTCAGAAGTTATGTTTTTAAATATTTTGATCCTTTGAGGCTTTTTTGGGACTATTAATGTCATAGTACTTAATTGTTGGTATATTTACTAGGTAGTTCTTCATACTTTGTTTTCCAATTTAGGAGTGAAGAACTTAGAAATACAAATGTGACATTCACAAATATGAGAATCGGGTTTTTTTTTTTTTCCACTCATCTGTAGCCTTACTATAAAAAGTAAGCTGTGGCTGGGCATGGTGCCTCACGCCTGTAATACCAGCATTTTGGGAGGTGGAGGTGGGCAGATCAGGAGATGGAGACCAAAATACAAAGATTAGCTGGGTGTGGTTGCACGTGCCTGTAATCCCAGCTACTAGGACTCTGAGGCAGGAGAATCACTTGAACCAGGGAGTCAGAGGTTGCATTGAGCTGAGATTGTGCCACTGCACTTCAGCCTGGTGACAGAGCAAGACTCCATCTCAAAAAAAGAAAAAGAAAAAAAGAGTAAGTTCTGTTGAACAATTTCAGTGGCTATCTTTAGCATAACATGTTTAAAAGGTTAATGTATAACCTAGAGCCAGCCACACTTATCACAGGATAAAATCCAGACTTCCTAGACTGGTCTCTGCAATCAAGGGTCTTTGTAATCTGACTCTGTCTAGAGAATGGATGTTGGAACTTTTCCTTCTTTTAAAGTGGTTTGAAACCAGGTATTCTGTAGCAAGTTATTTCAGAGACATAATGAAAATATTTTGGTCTTACATGAAGTTAGTGTAATAAACTGTTGATTTAGAACCAGAAGACCCTGACTTTAAGCTTTGGTTCTGATGAGATGACCTGTGATTGTGAACACGTGACTGTATTCCTTAGAACCTTTGTTTTTGTCATCTGTGATAAAGAGATAACAATAGTTCTACCTACAACACTCAAGGTGTGTGTGTGTGTGTGTGTGTGTGTGTGTGTGTGTTTTAAGAGTGGTAGTTTGATGCAAAAATTAGTATGTGGAATCTAGTGACAGAAATCCTGGGTTTGAGCCCTGGCACCAGAGCTTATTGGCTTTCTAATTTTATAAGTCACTTAAAACCTGAGGCTGGGCCTCAGGATTTTCTTATGTGAAATGGAAAAAATACTTTTAAACTCTAAAGCATTCTGAAAATATTACTCTTCATAATTGTACAGTAGGTCTGATTGGGAAGTCAGTAGATATAATTTTATTGTTTTTTCAGGTGCTTTGGGAAAAAGAACACGGTTCCAGGAAAATTATGTGGCACAACTGATTCTAGATGTAAGAAGAGAAGGGGATGGTCTTTCAAATTGTGAATTCACTCCAGCACCCACTCCTCAGGAACATTTAACCAAGGCAAGTAGGATTATAAGTTATTAAATTCAATTAACACCTGAGTCTAACAATTTCAGTAGGTGAGTACCATAGAAACACTGAGTGGGTTGGGGAGATTCTTCATTTTATCCTTTCTTAAGCCTTTTCAGGGTGGCTGGGGCAGGAAGAACCGGTGTTTAAACCTTTTTTTTCCTAACCTGTACATAGAGATAAATAGTGCTTTTCTTCTGCAATTCAAAAACTATGAATTAATAATGCAGTTAGTTATGTATTACCCCTCTTGAAGAAATACAAAAGGCAGACTGGGTAGAGACCAATTTTTCTAGCTGCTATCATATTTGTTTCCTTATGCTTGTCTTCTCTGGCTATTTTTGAACATTCAGAGACTTGGAATCTCTTAGGCTTTTTCTAAATATATAAACAGATGATCAGAATTCCTTTTCACCAATTTTGTGATCTCCCTTTTGTTGCTCTGTCATTAGCGGGTGGTGGTTGCCTTAGTATCTTTATTTGACATGTCTTTTTTTTTTTTTTGACGGAGTTTCACTCTTGTTACCCAGGCTAGAGTGCAATGGCGCGATCTCGGCTCACTGCAACCTCCGTCTCCTGGGTTCAGGCAATTCTCCTGCCTCAGCCTCCTGAGTAGCTGGGATTACAGGCACGCACCACCATGCCCAGCTAATTTTTTGTATTTTTAGTAGAGACGGGGTTTCACCATGTTGACCAGGATGGTCTCGATCTCTTGACCTTGTGATCCACCCGCCTCGGCCTCCCAAAATGCTGGGATTACAGGCTTGAGCCACCGTGCCTGGCCTCTATTTGACATGTCTAATGAATTCTTTTCTTTAGTTTGAATTATGACTTTTGGTCAGTTTACCTAATTATCGTCCACTCCAGCTGCTTCCATGAAGGCCTTTAGTATTTATGCATGTATTTTCTGATCCCAGAAATCCCCAACTACTTGTTTTGTTTTATTTTTTTGAGATGGCGTCTCCCTCTGCCACCCAGGCTGGAGTGCAGTGGCCCAATCTCAGTTCACTGCAACCTCGCCTCTTGGGTTCAAGCGATTCCCTTGCCTCAGCCTCCTGAATAGCTGGGACTATAGAAGCACGCCATCATGCCTGGCTAATTTTTATATTTTTAGTAGAGACAGGGTTTCGCTGTTTTTGCCTGGTTGGTCTTGAACTCCTGACCTCAGTTGATGCACTTGCCTTGGCCTCCCAAAGTACTGAGATTACAGGCATGAGCCACTATGCCCAGCCTGTCAACTACATTTTTGATTGTCCTTTGGTTGATTTTGCTGTCTTTAAAGCCTATGTGTTACTACTCTTCATTTCAGAGCCTATAAGCACATTTACCTTGGGTATGCTAAACACTAAAATTCTCTTCTGTGCTGAGAATAATGCCAATGAAGGGACTAGAGATGGGTAAGAAGTGTGGCAGCAATTGTTAATCCTAGGGAAGGCCTTAGATGAGATATTGCCTATTCCTGGGACTGCTCCAAGTACCCTGTTGTTTCCTTTTGTGATAACTTTAGTGAGGAGCAGCTGTTGATTCTAAAAAGAGAATGAAGAGAGAAAGGGAGAGAGGCCAAAACTCAGGGAAAAGACTGTGCAGGGTGCACTCTATACCACCTGAAGTATACAGAGCCATGCGTGATCCAGTATGTGTACTGCTAGGGTTGACGCTGGTGAGGAAACTGTGCTCTCTCCCTCATTTCCACCTTATATGTACTAGACTCTTCTCCTTAAGCTTTTTGATATCACCTACGCCTCTCTCTAAGCCTCAGATTAGCTGTCATAAGTCGGATTTTTAGGCCATAACACAGGATGTATGGAAAGATATTTAATTGTACAATCCAAGCACTTTATTCAGTAATCTATTATTATTATTATTATTTTTAAGTCTTACTCTTTTTGCTTAGGCTGGAGTGTAGTGGCACAGTCTCGGCCCACTGCAACCTTCACCTCATAGTTTTATAGCTATTCACCTGCCTCAGCCTCCCAAGTAGCTGAGCACTACCATGCTCAGCCAATTTTTATATTTTTAGTAGAGACGGGGTTTCACTATGCTGGCTAGGCTGGTCTCGAACTCCTGACTTCAAGTGATCTGCCCACCTTGGTCTCTCAAAATGCTGGAATTACAGGCATGAGCCACCATGCTTGGCCTGTTTGTTGTTTTTTATTTGTTATTATTTTTAATTTATTGTCGAGACAGAGTCTCACTCTGTCACCCAGGCTGGAGTACAGTGGCACGATCTCACACACTGCAACCTCCGCCTCCTGGATTCAAGTGATTCTTCAGCCTCAGCCTCCCAGGTATCTGGGATTACACGCTAATTTGTATATTTTTTTAGTAGATACAGAATTTTATCATGTTGGCCAGGCTGGTCTCAAACTCCTGACCTCAAGTGATCTGCCCACCTTGACCTCCCAAAGTGCTGGGATACAGGCGTGAGCCACCATGACCAGTGTGTTTGTTGTTTTTTAATGTGGAGTTCTCCTAGAGAAAATTATATCTCAGTGATTGGCTTGGCATAGTCATGTCTGTAATCCCGCCACTTTGGGAGGCCGACGTTTGTAGATCCTCGAGGTCAGGAGTTTGATACTAGCCTGACCAACATGGCGAAACCCTGTCTCTACTAAAAATACAAAATTAGCTAGGTATCGTGGCATGTGCCTATAATCCCAGCTACCTGGGAGGCTGGGGGAGGAGAATCACTTGAACTTGGGAAGTGGAGGTTGCAGTGAGCTGAGATCGCACCATTGCACTCCAGCCTGGGCAACAAGAGCGAAACTCCCATTTCTTTTTTTTTTTTTTGGGTAGCCGTAAAATTTGAGATTTGCCTGTTAAATTTCATAATAGATAAGTTAAAACTCAGCTGCTACTTTTTTTTTTTTTTTTTTAGAGGAAGAAAGAGAGAAAGAAA